TTATTTTGAAAACATTGATATTATGCAATTATTTACCTATGATATAATGATATTAAAATAATTTTTTAAATCATATATAATACAATTATATGTATATGAAAATAAAACATCTTCATTTACATAAAAGAGATACGAAATAATTCTACGTATGAAAAATATCACTATCTACATTCAATAAAGATACCAAAACAATTATATACCTAATGCAAATTTCAAGACATGTAGAAGCAAAAGGAATATATATTACCTATAGTTAAGGTTATCACCAATTCACCATGACAAATTTCAATACAAACTATGCCTCCATATAAGGTAGAATAACACGGGCAAAAAGAAAAAGAAAAAAGAGTTGAAGAAGATGAATAAGAACTTAGCATGAAAGTGACAATTAACAAAAAGTGCCAATCAAATATAAGTTTTGCCGTTTGAAATCATAATAATTAATATATAGGTGTTGCCCAAATCATGTTTGAATCCATTTTTAAACTTAGGGGCAGGCTGGAACTGAAAAATAAAAATATTTGTTTGCATCTTACACAAAAGGAAGGTTGTCCTAGGTTGTATAATAGTCAAAGGATTTACATCAAAAGTGATTTTTTTGGAGGAGGAGTTACCTAAAACTTGCTTAAGGAATTGGTTTTAAATCTAATTGTCTATTTTTCAAATGATATTTATGACCATGCTGTGAGTAAAGTGGGAAGAATACTTCTTCAATGTTGCTTTTCTTTCAGCAGCGAAGCATAATTCTTATAAAAGAGTATTGTTGTTGCTAAGGTTATTATCTTATTAATTATCATTAGATCAATAAATTTTGAGATATTTTCAAAATTTTAATGAATTTGGATTGCTAATGAATTCTGACTCTGAGTTATCGTTTGATTTATCTATTTAATTACTATGTCACGATGCGAGCTTCACCATGTTCCCGAAATCGCAAGTTTGTATGAAAAGCCAGAACTAAATTAAATGCAGGAATGACTAATGAAATGAGGCACGAGCTAGGAGGACCAGCGTGTGTTAAGAAGATGATCGTCTTTCCTCTGTCAATTATGTCCATTGAAAGAGGAGGAGAAGGAGGGGGGTAGGGGGCTGCATCTGCATCCTCAAAAAACTGGATTTGTTGGGGATACAGACAAGGAGACAATATAAGAGACTGAACCCGAAACCAAGCCCACTGGGCTAAGTTGGCGTCTAGGACCCCACTACATCTGTAGAGATTGCAATTGCAAGAGGTCTGTCAACGATGTCAGTAATTTCTTACACAAGCAGACTAGACACCATCACATGCAGCTTGTAAAGCTAATTTCACCCGACACTAATTTCAGCCCTAGAGGATCAGCTTTCTGCAGAATTTGATCCCTGTCCAGGCTGAATTTACATGTTGCCTAAACACTCTATCTTAATTACTCGACGCCCTAAAATCAAAATAGTTGTGTTTTGATTTTCTAGACAAGTTACCCCTTATAAAAGATATAAAACAGGTTTTATGCCATTTAATTTATTCCATTTATTGCCTTTCCAATATTGACCTAGAACTAATTGTGATTTATATTCTGGTCTTGTAATCTGCAGTGAAACGGTGGTACTACATTATACATGTTGATGTGATAACACAAATCAATAGTCTAATGTTTTATTTTTCCATGAGATAGTCTGACATGTTATATTGTTACATTATTAACGAAAATTATAGAATGTATTACTGCTTGGTGCTCCACAACTGTAGTCTTCTTTATTCGTATTGTTATAAGTATCATATAGTTGAAATCATATCACATGGTTGTTCTTTGATATATGACATTTGGATCATCGATACCAAGGCCCTCTTCACCAAACAATGTTCAATCCAGACAAATTAACATGGATTTAATCATATTTTATAAATTACATGACGTGGTTGTTGATGATTGGATTAAGTGTTAACAATATTATTTTCAATTGGTGATATATCACATGATTTGTAAATGAGTTTAAAAAGTTGGTCTACCTAGCATTACTCTATTAAAAAAAAACATCCTGGTGCTTAGGTTGTTATATCCTATATTATCGTTCAATAAATACTTTTTGAAATGTTTTAATTTTTTTTTTTTTGTTAATTTTGGATTGCTAATGAATTCTAAGTCAAGGTTATGGTTCGATTTATCTCTTTAATTACCATACCACGATGCCGATGCGACCATGTTCCGATATCGCTAGCTTGTATGAAAAACCAGAACTAAATTAAATGCAGGAATGAGAGGCAGGAGCTAGGCGAACCAGCATGTGTTAAGAAGCTGATCATCTTTGTCAATTGAGGGGGGCCTGCATCCCCCCAAAAATTGGATTTCTTAGGGATAGACAAGTAGACAATAATAGAGACTGAACCTGAAACCAAGCCCACCGGACTAATTTGGCATCTAGGACCCCACTTCTGTAGAGGTTGCAATTGCAGAGGTCTGTCAATGACATGCCTTAGTAATTTCTTACAAAAGTAAACTGTAGACACCATCACATGCAGCTTGGAACCCTAATTTCAACGACACAAATTTCAGCCCTAGAGGATCAGCTTTCAGCAGAATTTGATCCCTGTCCAGGTTAATTTACAACATGCTGCCTAGTACACTCCCTTTCTTAATTACTGAACTCCCTAAAATCTAATTGTGTTTTGAATTTCTGGACAAGTTACCCCTTATAAAAGATACAAAACAGGTTTCTATGTCATTTTGGTTTCTTCCCTTTATTGCCCTACCAATATCGACCTAGAACTAATTTTGATGTATAATCTGACCTCGTAATCTGCAATAAAACGTTGGTACTACATTATACATGTTGATATGGTAACACAAATCAATCGTCTAAATGTTTTGTTTTTCTACAAGATAGTCTGACATGTTATATTGTTAAATTATTAAAGAAATTATTGAATGTAGTATGGCTTTGTGCTCCACAACCATGGTCTTATTTCTTCATAATGTTATAAATTTAAATATGCAATGAGGCTACAATCATCACATCATTGAAATCATATCACACGGTTGTTCTTTGATATATTGATATATTAGATCATCGATATAAGGCACATGCTCTCATCACCAAACGATGTTCAATCCAGACAACATGTAAACATGCATGCATGCAATATACAAACTCAGGACCACCAAGCATATGTTGGCATCGTCACTTGCCTAGTTACTTTTCAGTACATGTACATGGCATGGATATCATAATGAAGGCTTCCAAGTTCCATCTTGGAGGCAAGTTTAGATCGTGATCAGTACTTGCGGATCAGCCAATATAAATTGGGACCAGCAGCACTACCACCACAGAAAACCACAATATATTACCTTATTTCATAAAATCCTATCTTCATTAGGAAAAACACGCTCATATTAATTAATCTAGTTTTCTTGCTACTAATTTGCCAATTCTAAACCCACAAACCCTTGCAAAAAGGACCCAATTAAAAGAACGGAGAGTATATATTGTCCCAAAAACGAATGCACGTATATATAAATGTGAGACAAGGCCGAATTTCATCCTACGCATGAATTATGTAATGTCACTCAAATTCCAAAAAACCTAAGCCAAAAACCTAGAACTCAGAGAAAATTTGCGAAGTAGCCAAATGTGGAATATGTTAAAGAGTTTTAGTAAATTCTTTTAACCACTTGAAAGTTTCACATTGTTGGAGGGGACTCAACTGGATATATCTGAATCTTAAAAAAGCTAATTTTCCAAATTCCCCTTAGACATTTTATTGTATGCCCGCATAAAATAAGAAATTAGCAAGTCTGTTTTCCATCTGAATTTCGCTCTCACCAGATTTTGAATTCATATTATCAAGGGGAGAGCTGGCAAGGATAGATCATGAATTGGCAGCTTTTGAAGGAGTGCGCTACCAGTTGTCTACCACTAAGTCTAGAATATCATATCTATATACTGAATATTATTACTGTGACAACAACATAATTTCATCAGATGATTAGCTAGCTAGTTTAACAAAAATTTACAAGGTAACAAGTCCTTATAAACGTATTTTCAAACTAAGTTAATCATCTAAATCTGCATATACATGCACGCATAAGTCAAAGAATCTCCACTGATATCTCATAGGTAGATATCCTATGGCTTGTCCGTTTCAATAAATACATTAATTCATTCACCTTGTCTTAGTTATTCCCATGTGAAACCTTCATCACGTACGTGCATAATGAATCTCCACCACCATCTCTCTCTCTCTCTCTCTCTCTCTCTCTCTCTCTCTCTCTCTCTCTCTCTCTCTCTCTCTCTCTCTCTCTCTCTCTCTCTCTCTCTCCCTCCCTCTCCCCAAGCTAGTAGTACTATAAATTGGGAGAATAAACAGTTCCCTACAGCCAGCATACTATTGTCCAAGGGCATAAATCTCACGTACCTTCAAATCCATATATTTGTTGTCTCCCATAGAATAATTTCAAGATATGAAAACTGTGGCTTTGGCTCGAACCATCTACTATTCTTGAGGTTTACATTAGTTTCCACAAACACCTCACTCAATCTCAATGGTAGCCTAAATGCATGTTCACTTCACGCAACAACTGACAATAGCTGGCTACTGACATTAGTTGTTACGAGTCAGGAAAATGCGTGTTAGTAGCTAATTGCATGAGTTAAAGGGCATATCAATAGCTAATGAGGTTATTGGCCACAATTAGGCGTTTTTACCCACCCCATACTCTGTACAGCTAACCTTAGTACGTAGCTTCGTGAAACATCATGTACAGACAGTATCATGTCATACTGTATATGTTCAGCTTTTAATGTGAATGGTTTGAAAATATCAGCATTCTTCTAAAAACATACTCAAATTTAAAACCAGTTAATGATGCTCCTGAACAATATCGTCAACTACAAAGTACAAATTAAGTTGAAACGTACATCATGTAAATGAAAAACCAAACATATATATTACCCACACTGCAACAACAATCGTCTCCCATCTCTTGTATACCATTATACCAAGTTACCCCCTTTTTTCCCCTCCCCAAGAACAAAATAAGAATAAAAAAAATCAGTTCTTCTGATCATAGATAGTAAACCCACCAACCCCAACCTAGCTAATTATAACCAACACATATGGGAATTAGGAAACATTGTCATGCAGATATATACATACACCAAATAAACACACCAACTTACTGAACTAGAGAGGAAGCTGTTTGCACCAAAGGAGGGGGAGACTTCAGCTCTGTGTAGAAGATGATGATTACGATTATGATCATAACGATCGTTGATAGTACTCGAGGCAGTGAGACGAAGAAGATCCGAGGTTCCTCTCAGCGCAAATTAGGGGGCATTGTCAACCCTTGATTAATAAAACTTATCAAGAGGCTGATTCTCTTATTGCTGCTGACATGATCACTCCGATCCCAGCTCCTGCCATCTTCTTTCCAATACTGTACCCATGAACTTTCTTTTTCCAATTTTTTGTTTTTCGAGTTTTTTTGTTTTTTTTTTCCTTTAACTTTTCTAAAACCACACTCCAATTCACTAAAAACCAATAACCAACCAACTAAAAAAAACCCTAAAAATTACTCTAATTAAGGTAAAAGGAAGATTTGAGATCGAAAAATAAGGTTGAGGATGAAGTTGGGTTTTTGCTAGATCAGTGAAGAGACCGAGGACCCAAGATTTGCTGGATCATGCCAATTAGAACCGAGAGTCGATGAGTTCCAGTAAGGAGTAGGATCTGATAGCCCCATTTGCTCCGAGATCTGATTCTGGCAATTCATATTACCATTCACATTACTGCTACCATTGTTATTATTCCACTGTAACCTGTTTTGGCCATTATGATCTTCTACTTTCACGTCTTTCGCGGCACCACCAACCTCGCCGTTGTTTCCTGCCGCTATTTGAAGATCTTCGAAGGGTAGTAAGGACTGGAAGTACTGGTTTTGCTGATGAGGCCCTCTAGCTTGAATATCTTTGAAAGCACCGCCATTAATGAATTTAGAAGCAAGCACAGAAGCCATAGTTGGAACTGTGGTGGATGGGGAAGCACTAAACATGGAACTATAATTGGAAGGAAGTGATGAACTCGAAGCAGGATTAAACCGGTTTCGATAATTATCACTGGACATCATATTAGTACCTGACGATGATGAAAACCCTAATCCCAGCTGAGCCTGATGATTCAACTGATGAAGATCAAACCCTGAAGCAGTATCCATAAAAGGGTTACTAGACAACCCATAAAACAGCGGATTGATTTGATCGATGTGGGATGGTTGTGAATTAGGGTTTGAATTATTATTAGCAGCAGCAGTAGTGCTAGGAACTGAAGAGGAAGAAGAAGTAGCTCCTCCATCCATGGCTGACGATGTTGAGGATGTTGAGCCGGGCCTCTTTACGCGCTTGTTCTTTCGGCAACCTCCACCGACCGGAACGTTGCGGAGGGTCCCACCTCGGGTCCAGTAGCGCTTGCAGGCCTTGCAAAAGTGCCTCGGCTGGGACAAGCTGTAGTTGTTGTAGTAACAGAACTTGGTGTTTGACGAATCGCAGCGAGGGCACTTTAGGGCTTGCTGTTGGAGCTGGAGTTGTTCTTGACCTGGTTTCTCCATTACCCGATTCGCCGGCGAAGACGTGGATGAAGACCTAACGTTATTGTTGTTGTTATTCAAGCCCTTTTGATGATGAATATCATCGATTTGAATGTCCTGCTGCAACTACAAATATCGAAAGGGAAGGAAGGGAAAGAAAGAAAGAGGGTTAAGACGGTGGTACTAGGTTAAAAATAACTACACAGGAGAAATATTCTGTTCCAAGAGCTAAGCAACAAAAGTTGTGTCATGGTTTGCCTAATAATTGAAATCTAGAGAGAGAGACAGAGAGAGAGAGAGAGAGAAGGGAACCTGTGGCCATTCGTTAGTAGTTGAAGAGATGAGTAGAGCCATCTTCTCATGATCACAGTTGCTCAACATGTTTTTCTCTTTGAGAAGGGAATCGTTGAAACAAAGAGTATGCGGACAAAGAGCAGGTGGCGACGTGAGTCTTTCTTGATGGAGTTGAAATATTATGACTATGAGAGAGAGAGAGAGAGAGAGAGAGAGAGAGAGAGAGAGAGGAGATCGAGAGGGAATGAATGTGTTGTCTGATTAATATTAGATGAGAATTAGTTTAAAAATTGCAATTAGTTAAGGGTTAATTACTTGGAATCTAATTTCACGTGATGGTTGTGGTGTAAAATCGGTTTTGATTATTATAATTGGAATTAAAAAATGGGAAAGAATATTGAGGACATTCGAAATCCGAGAAGCGGACAGGAAGGTAATGTGACATTAGAGATGAATCTTTGGGAGGTTCAAGAAGGAGAGAATTTTACTAATTAAGGAGTTGAAGCTAATCAAATTTAAATAACACATTCCTATGATTAACAACATACATTCCTTTAATTTGCATAGAGATAGCAGCAAGCAAACTAGATAAGAGTTGAGGGAATCCCTAGAGCCCCAATATTCGATGCAGTCTTCGCAGCAAATCCCACTTCCTCTTTTTCTTTTACTTTGTTTATTTAATGAAATTAATTGTACGCTATACTACATGTATGGCCCTCAACTCCCATGTATCAACATGTTACTTATCCCCATTTCGACAACAATGTAATCTAATAAGGGGAGTGCTATTATTTAGGAGGAAGGGGAAGAGTTTAGAGAGTTCGATACTATTACAATAATTTAGGGAAATGAGAAGTTTTGAATCCGGGACGTATGGGTAGCAACCCAACACCTCATTTACTAGGATATTGGACCACATGCAATAAGGGTAGTGTTATTCACACAATATTTTTACCTCCCACACACCCTTGTTATTTTTGTCTATTGATCTTCTTTAATTCATTCAATTAAACAGCTGAAAATTAAGAATGTATGTAAGAAGTAAAGTGTGTGCATAGGACCACCCTCTAATAATAATCCAAACTGAATTGTGTAACTGTTAATTTGGTGGGACATCATATATATTGTGGAAAATGATTTCTCTTTAAATATGTTAATGATCTTGTTATAGAAAGTGGCAAGTGGTACTTGTACTTTATATTAATTGCATTTTTTTTTCAGTTTATAGGTTTTTTTCATGAATAATTGTTGACTATAACTATATTCATGAATCCGTAAATTGCACTGTAAAATTCAACATAATCAGTTGACCATATATACAGTCTAACAACTCTAAATTGTGGAGGCATGTGTTGAACTAATGGTAGGTAGGGTAGGATATTATATGCAATAGAAAGGAGGATTATAATTGGGAATTGTTATTGGCATTCTAAAATTCTCAATCTATACTCCAAATTTTATATATTTAGAAAGAAAAATACATTTATGAGAAGTGTAGAATGAGATTTTTAGAGTGTCAATAACATTTACTTTATAATTAATAAGCACAACATATATATATATATATAGGAGGGAAGTATTCATTTGAAATAGGAATTGATATATATATATATATATATAGGAGGGAAGTATTCATTTGAAATAGGAATTGGTGAAAACTCCAAAAAGAAAGAGACAAGAGGGCACAATGTGGTGGTCTACATCCCAGAGACTACTGAAACACACAGAGGAAAGACCACCACGCTTTATTCTCGAGGGCTCTTGCTTTGCTGTTGCAGTTCTTGTTCCTCCTCCTCATCTCTCTCTCTCTCTCTCTCTCTCTCTCTCTCTCTCTCTCTCTCTCTCTCTCTCAATTTGGCAAAATATTACTGAGAAAAATAAAAATAGAAATAAAAAAAGCAAAGAAAAACCGTTAATGGTTTCACAAGGGAAGAGAAAGAGAGAGATGAAACTGTGGAAATCAAACCAAAGCTAGCATATAGAGAGCTGCAGTTTCTATCAAAAAAGAAAAAAAAAATAGGGAGCCGCAGAGAAACAGAAGTGAATTGCATGTGGAGGGCAGCTCATCGGCTCCGGAAAAGAAAAAGGCGTTCGAGGAGGGAACAAATGGATTTTGTAGTCTCCCAAGGGATCTTCTCCTCCTTCGCTACAACCCATCATTATTCTTCCTTCCCCCAGTGACCACTTCCATCTCTCTCTCTCTCTCTCTCTCTCTCTCTCTCTCTCTCTCTCTCTCTCTCTCTGTTGTACTGTTACTCTACTTGATTACACCTTTAATTGGAAATTAAAATAGGGCTCTCATTAAAATATTACTATCATGCATGTTGCTGCTCTTTACTAGATTGAGATCATGTATATTCTATCAGCAGGTGTAAGACTATTTGACTACAGATAATTAAAGTAGCTACTGCGGGAAAACAAATCTATACTATACTCTAAGCATGTTAGGGTGATTTAGATCCTACAACTACAACTTGGTTAATTTAATTGCAACACCCAATTTACTATATGTTAACCAAAATTGAAGCCACCCACCTCATGGACAATTGTTATCCAAAACATGGATATCATCTTTAATCTACTTTGGTTTGTGTTTGTTAATAGTTTTTTCGGTTTGAATTATGACGATGATGCTGGTAGCTGTACCTCATGGACAATTGGACTATACTGGAGGTCCACTGATCATAGTCCTGGTGGGCACCCATATGGATATATTGGTGGTCAATTGTAAATCAATATGAATACTCTCTAATATATTTATAGTAATGGTATACTTGGATACTTATATATATATATATTTATATAAGAAATTGTTTCTTGTAAAACTCGAGTAAGAGTATCCTACCACGTCATTCTTATGACACTTTTCATAAAATTGTAGGACAATTTGTATTTGATATTAGTTAACTCTAGTGGCGGAGTTAGAATGTTATAATAATTGGGTCATAATTTTGGTAAAAAAACTTCATGGGATCATTTTGTCGATCGAGCTTCTGGTGAATATCCATCAAGTTATGCCGCATTCTATTGATTTTTGTCGAGGCCAATCGAGTGAGGCTTTTTATCGAACACATCTACAAATAATTATACATGGAGTTGCACAAAAGAAGTAACAGCTTGTAATTCAATGTTGCACAAAAGAAGCAACACCTTGTAATTCAATGTTTTTTTTATTCATTCTTTTAGTTTGCCGCAATTATGTAAAAGTATCATAGACAAATACACAGATAAATATACATTAAGTTTATCAAGCTATGAGAGTCATAAGTAGCTAACTAATGACCACATTTGTCTCCGCCACTAGTTATAAGTTTATAACTCCATTTTGATATTTTCCGGTAAGTTGCGCTACTTAACTAACCCTATCTAACCAAATTTATCTCCTACAACAATGTGTATAAATTTTATTTCCATGATTTCTTACATGTAAAAGTGATACACAGTAAACAAAAGAAATATGCAGTTGTGAGTGTGAGGGAAAGCAAGATGACAGGAATGGAGACTGGTTTTAGTAGTCAAAGTAGGGATAGACGTGGAGGTGATCAGGCTGGGTCCTACTTACCCACACCAATTGTCACAGACCAGTAATGAGGCAATGACCACACCCAGCAGGCCACACCCCCACCACCATCGGACAACACAAGAGATTCCAATTTGAAAGAACATGAAAGAAACCCAACACGCACGTTAAAGCCAGGGCCGGGCCCTGTAGCCCAAGTAGGCGCCCGTTTAGGACCCCACTTCAGAAGGGTCTCAAAAAAATTTATATCTTGTAATTAACATATAAATACAAAAAAATAAGTAAGAAATATCATAATTCATTTGTTACTGCAATGGAAATGTTGGCTTTATTTTTCTTTGGGATGTTGAGTTCAAAACATGAAGCCAATTCATCTGTCCAACTCTCAATTCATCTGTCCAAATGCATATAAAGTTATAAAACCCAAGTCTCTTTGCAATCTTTTTTTCTTTTAACTTCTCATTCCCTCCATTTCTATCAAATGTTTAAACCAACTTCACATTCTCTTCATTTCTTTTGAATGTTTAAACCAACTATCATATGGTCTTAAAGATTGTACTTTAAGGTAATCAAAACTTTGAATTATATATTTTTCTTTTCAATAACTTTTTATTCAATGGATAATTTTAATATTCAATTCGTTAGTGTGATGTTGATTTTAGAAGAAAAAAAAACACAAGAGAAACAATTGGCGTTGAATTTATTATACTTGTCAATCAAGTTTTATTGTTATTTACTCTCTTGATCATCAAGTTTTATTATTCTTCATTCTCAATCTTAAACTCTTGACTGCAAACATTTAGTACATTTATGTATAAAAACGTTAATCGTGTAATGTTTAAATAATGTTTGTATATTTATCTTCTTTTGATATTAATTTTTAATGATATTTGATATGAAAATATAACTTTTTATATATTTAGAAATTTTTTTTTATACAAATCAATATACAAAGAATCGGAGATCAGAGAATTTTAGGGTCCCACTTCAAAGGCTCGCCTAGGGCCTCCAAATTCTCAGGACCGGCCCTGGTTAAAGCGTTAGAGAGAAAGAAGCCTCCTGTTTCTGTTTCAGTTGAGAGAGAGAGAGAGAGAGAGAGAGAGAGAGAGAGAGAGATTACGGGGACCAGCTGAGCATCAAATCCAAGCCAACTATATTTATCACAGGCTGACCACCATTGCACCCCATACAATTTTGCAACTCGACAGCCAAAGGTCTCACTCTCCATTTCCATCGTCTTGCATTGGATTTTCTCTCTATTTAGTTAATTTATTAAACCATTTATATGAGCACCCATTTCGATTGAGGCTATGCCTCAAAAACTTAATTATGAAAGAGATGGTATATATTAGGGTTTCAAGAGTCGGAATTTTTTGAAACAGATTCTAATATCATATTAGACAACCATTAAATTCAGCTAAAAAGCTTATTAGAGAATGCATAAGAACATATGTCAAGCTATGATAGATAGCTATCTCGACTTATAACCCAAAATATATATATATATATATGTATGTATGTATGTATGTATATTTTCTTTCTATTTTCCGTATGATTCTAGACTTATTAATTTGACTGGTTGCTTCGATTTTTGTTGTCCGAATACGGAAAGGGGTGCTGGATCGAATCAATGGCCTACTTTTGGAATTTAATCTTTGATCT